GAATTATTAGCTATTAATTTATTGGCTAATTAGAAAGGTCAAGGGGATTTAAGCATTATAACTCCTCTAATAAATTATTTTTTGAGATAGGCAATACTAAATTTATTGAGAAGGTTGAATATAGTAAGAGTGATAAACTCAAAGCTTTTAATTTTAAAGAGAAATATGTTATTATTTTTACTATTATAATTGAAAATGATAAGGTAATTATGCCTGATGTTATTCATATTATAAATCTAGATAATCAAAATACTCTTAAATTATCTCCTACTCATATAGAAGGATGATAACTTAAAATTAAAGTGTTGTTAAGAAGATCCACAAGAGAAAGGAGAATAATAATTTCATATGATTATATTGTGTATCTCCAAGAACATGAATTTGATATGGGATTGGAAGATGATCCAATCTCTTTCAATTAAGTCAAATAATGTGTTAATTCTAAAAAGTTTATTGAGATCATGAAATATGTGATGAAATGAATGAAAGATAATGATGTTTGGGATCTTACTGAATTACCTAAAGGGGAAACATTGATTGCGTGTAAAAAGCATTTTAAAATTAAATAGGCGTTTAAAAGGTAATATTGAAAAATATAATGCACATCTTGTAGATAAACGTTTCACTCAAAAGAAAAGCATTAATTATGAAGATATTTTTTCTCTAGTTTCATTAAAAAACTATTTTAGAATCATTATGACACTTGTAGTTTATTATGATTTAGAGCTACATAAGATGGAGGTAAAGACTACATTTCTCAATGGTTACATTGAAGAAATAATATATATGATGCAACTAGAAAATTTTAAATCTTCAGATTCAATATATCTGGTATGCAAATTAAAGAAATATATCTATGGTTTAAATCAAGTATCCCATCAAAGGTATAAAACGTTTGTTCAAGTGATTATTTCATTTGGTTTTAAAGAAAACATTAATGATGAATAAATTTTTCATAAGATATGTGGGAGTAAGTTTATTCTCCTACTATTATATGTTGATGATATTATACTAGCAAACAATAATATAGTCTTATTTCACGAGACTAAGAGATTTATTTCAGATAAATTTGAAATAAAATATCATGAATATGCATCCTTTGTGTTAGGTATATAAATTCATTAGGATCTCCCATATGGTATACTTGATTTATCATTAATAGTATATATCGATAATGTTTTTAATAGTTTTGGCATTAATAATCATACACTTGGAGATACACCCATTATAAAAGAGGATAAATTTAGTATGCTTCAATTCCCTAGAAATAAAGTTGAAAAGCAAGAGATAGAAAAGATCAATTATGCATTAGCAGTAGGGAGCCTTATGTATGCTTAAGTTTATACGCATTCGGATATTATGTGCATTATTGGAATGCATGGTAGATATTTAAGTAACCTAGGAATGGATCATTGGAAAATGGGTTGTGAGATATGTAATAAGAACAAAAAAAATTATGCTCACATGTCATAGATCTAATCATTTAGAGATCATGGAATATTCTTACTTCAATTTTACTGGTTATCTTGATAGTAGGAGATCCACTTCAAGCTATATTTTTATGTTAGCTGGAGGAGCTATATCATGATAAAGTGACAAGCAATCGCTTATAACTTCTTTCATAATAAAAGTAAAGTTTATAACTTATTATGAGGCATCAAATTAGAGAATTTGGCTACAAATGTTTATCATAAAGCTAAATATAGTTGATGACATTAAGGGAGTATTAAAGATAAATTATGATAATAATGAAGTTGAGTTATTCTAAGAACAATAGAAGTTCACCAAAATTAATGCATGTTCACATTAAGTTTCTTATTATGAAGGAAATGGTTCAGAGTTCCCAAATTTTTATTGAATGTATTAGTAAAAATTTTATGATTATAGACCCACTTATAAAAGGATTATCACCTAAGGTATTTCATGAGCATGTGATTCATATGGGTGTAATTTATTTTGAGGATGTGTTAGCATATTGGGAGAGTGTATACAATTTTCAATTATTACAAATATAATTTTTAATCTTACTAAAATGTTGTTATTGAAAACTATGAAGTAAAGTTACTAACTCTCAATTGTTGTTTAGTACAAAGTATTAAATTGTTGTGATAAATCTTTTGAATTATAATATTATACTAGATGAAAATAAACATGTTATAAGATCACATTACAAGAAATTTTCTTTGCCATTTAGCCTTGTTCAACGAATGTTGAATGAAATTGATAACATTGATGTTATCACCTTCAATTATTACTCCTTTACTTTCAAGCATCCACGGTTGAATGAGTCTTCTAAGTGTCATAACAGCATCCAGCTCAAGATTAGCTATATCCCAATGTGTTCTTCTTTCACCAAAAGCAATCAATAATCTCCCTTTATAGTCTCTAAAGCAACCTCCAATTCCAGCACTATAAGAAGTAAGTAGAGAAGCATCCACGTTAATCTTAATCCAATCAAGCGATGGAGGGTGCCAAATGGTTTGAAACTCCTTAGGGAGATTAGCACCCCAGCTATCAATGAAAGGATTAGAGATTTTTACAGCCGAAAATAGCACATCAGCTGCTAGAATAGAGATGGGAATAGCTGTTTTCCCATGTTTTACAGCATTCATGTTCTTCCAATTATAATACACAACATTGCAATAGAGGCCAGCTGTATTTGGAGCAAATGTAGATAGAATTCTCAGCTCAACTAAGCATTCATCAATAGAATAAAAAACAGGAATATAAATTCCCCAGCTCTGGATTTGTCTTATGATCTTCTGCAGTTCTATGCAACGAACCGAGATGTGTTCCAGACTTTCACTTTCTAGACAGCCTCTAGCACACAAGTCTTCATTTGTAAGTTTTCTGTACTTCAAAAACTCATTAGTAGGTATGGCTGCTTTACTCATTCTCCACCAGACAAGCTCTACAGAAGCTGATAATTTCAGTTTCCTCAACCAATTATAAAAGCCCATGTCTCCTTCACAATTGCTGTAGTTGTTGTAGTTTTCAAAAGCACGGGCTGTGATAGTTTTACCAGAAAGAAAACAGATCTCTTCCAAGTAATCTTCATTAGCATTCCTGTCAATCGGGATTTGTAACACCACTTTGATGACTTCTTCAGTAAAGAAACATTGCAGCTTCTCCCGATCCCATAAACCATTCTCTGTAATGAAATGACTTAGCTTAATACCTTCCATATCTACACAATCTGCTGTAATTGGCCATTCATTTAAGCATTTGTCTAATAACCAAATGTCTCTAAGAACATCAATTTTCCTCCCATTCACCACTCTCCACCTCAAAAGAGGCTTTAAGTACTCAGCTCCTTCATTCAATATCTTCCATGCAATTGATTTAGCAATACCACAATTCCCTTGCCTCCAACTATCACCATATTTTGCAGTCATAACCTGATGTAATAAGGAATTCGGATTTTGAAGTAATCTCCAAGTCAATATAGCTTTGAGAGGACCAGCTCTACTAACCGCCGAGTGAAAGTTCAAACCACCTTGAGCTTTTGGTTTACACATGGTTTTTCAAGCAATGAAATGCATACCCTTCTTCCCATCTCTTTTATGCCAAATAAAGTTTCTATAACATCTATCAATCTCATAGAGTATCTTCTTTGGAACCAATGAATGAGTAGAAATAAAGTTTGGTAGAGTTAAAAGGGAAGACTTAGCAAGAGTCATCTTCCCCACCAAAGACAAGCATTTGCTACCCCAAGAATTCAGTTTAAGTAAAACTGAATCCAACAGAAATTTAAAGTCAGCTTTCATAAGTCTTCTCAACATCAGTTTTACCCCAAGATACTGAAATTCTTCAACTGTTTTAAACTTCAGAATATTCTTAACATGTATCCTGTCCACTCTATTCATCCCCTTACTAAACAATATTTGGGATTTGGCAATATTAATTCTTAATCCAGTCCAAGAACAAAAATCCAACACTATTTTATTCATCTTGACGGCAAGATGCTTAGAAGCTTTAGAGAATAATAGAACATCGTCAGCAAATAGCAAGTGGCTGATCTTTTTTACTCTATGGGAAGCCTGAATTCCCAAATCCTGACCCCTTTGTGCAATTGCCAAAGAAAAAAGCTCAGAACAAATGATGTAAAAGAATGGAGATAGTGGGCAGCCTTGCCTAAAGCCATTCTTAGCAATAATCCACTTGGAAGTTTTACCATTCACAATGAAAGAAAATCTAGCATTTCTAATACATTCCATAATAAGCATAGTCATCTTTCTAGGAAAACCAAACATGTTTAAAGCTTGAGATAAGGTATCCCAACACATACTGTCATAAGCTTGCTCCATATCAAGCATAACTGCCATAAATCCCTTTTTCCTTTTAGAAATTCTCATCTTATGGAACACCTCATGAGCAAGAAGATAATGATCAGACATTGATCTACCATGAAGGAAAACAGCTTCTTCTTCAGTGATACAATTGGCAATATAATTTTTCATTCTATTTACAATCATGGAAGCCACTAATTTGTAAGTTGTTTGAAACAAACTTATTGGCCTAAAGTTGGATGGATTAATAGGATTTTTAACTTTAGGAATAAGAACAAGAAGAGTATCCTTCCACTCATTATGCATGATACCGGTTTTAAAAAAACCATCAATAGCATTCCAAGTTTCTTCCTTCACAATCTTCCAATAAAACTTGAAAAAAGAATTAGTAATGCCATCTAGACCAGGGGATTTGTTGTTACCTTGCATGAAGACAACCTTGATCAATTCTTCTTTAGTGAAATCCTCATTTAGAAGCTTAGCATCTTCATTGGAAATTCTTAGATTTTCTGGACAAGAAGGCCACCCCGTCAGCTTGCATCCTCTAGCTGTCCACTTATTCTGAAAAAAACTGTAAAAAACAGTTTCAATTTGCTCAACATCTTCAACAATAGTCCCTTGCTCATCTTTGATTTGCCAAATCATGTTCACATTCCTCTTAGCCGAAACATATTGATGAAAATAGCTAGAATTTATGTCTCCATCTTGCTGTCATCTGATCTTTGCTCTGTGATTCCACCAAGTAGATGGCCTTTTCAAAGTCACATTGAGATCATGGACTTTACATCTCAAAGCTTTCAACTTCTCAGCCATTATGCTTCCTTCACTGGTCTCTTCAATCTGAAGTTGCAAGATATCCTGCTTCAATTCTTCTTTAAGAGAATTAAGTTCTTTGCATTTGTTTTTATTCCAATAGTAGAGAGCTTTTAATGATCTTCTCAACTTCCTTTGAAGGATTTCAGCACTAGTACCAAAATCCAATTTTTTCCAAGCTTTTAAGATGATGTTCAAAGTGGCAGGATATGATTTCCAAGTATCTTCAAACCTTAAAAAAAACATATTTCTGCTTTTGGGGCTCTACCAATCTGATGGAAATTGGAGCATGATCCGAAGCAACTCTGGGCAAGTGACGCACCTTAGCCATTGGGATGTTTTGAAGGGTTGCAGAATTTAATAAACATCTATCAAGTCTCTCCCATATTCTAGATGTTCCTTCTTTATTATTACACAATGTATAACTTGGACCCACAAATCCAATATCATGGAAATCATTATTCACTAAAAACATCTTCATATCTTTATAACCACTAGAAAGATGAAACCTCTTTCCACCCTTCTTATCCTCCTTGGAGAGGATGCAATTGAAATCACCCACTATGATACCTGGATCATCACCAATCATACAACTTTCAAGCTGTTGCCAAAGGGATTTACGAGTATGAGCATCCTTACCTCCATAGACCGTTGCAATTTTCCATTTACCCAGAGCATTGACGCTAAGATTTCCCATAATCATTTGGGAAGAATGATCCATGACTTCAAAAGAAGCAATCTCCTTTTTCCACATCACTAAGATTCCACCCGAAATGCCAATCGATGGATGATGAAAATAATCCCAATCATTACCAATAATCTGATTTATGTCATTCCTATCAAGAGAAGACATTTTTGTTTCAGTTAAACCAACAAAAAAACCTTTATTGTCTTTCACAATCTGTCTAAGATATAGGGAGGCCTCCTTCTTCCTAGCCCCCCTACAATTCCAAAAAATGATGGAAGCCATTAAGACATAATAGGGGAATAGTCCCCTATTATTTTACTATTTTTTTATCTCCTCTCCTCTTCCTTAGATCTGCTTCTATAGGTCCCAATGATCTCAATTCTTTGGAAAGTTTAACTTTACCAGAATTTGAAAATGACACCAATTGATCTTCATGATCATGTAAAGAAACAGGAACATCTACTTTAGAGTGAATATCAATTTCATCCTAATTCAAAGGTTTGGAATTCTTCAGCAGCCTTGCATTATCCTTCTCAGTCAATTCTCCTTCTTCCAGATCACAGTCCAATGCTTGAAATTTATACAAACCAATTGGTATTTCCTGTATCCGAATATCTTTAGAAGCCAGTCATTTCAGGATTTATAGTCTTGCCTTGTCTTTCTTCTGAATCTATTGGTTTTTCCAACTGTTCAACAATCTGTGTTTGTTTACCATATTCAACAGGTTTATAAATCTGTTTACTTTGAATACTTGCTCCATTATCCCTTTTAGTATTTCTGAATCTTCTATTTTTGAAATTAGCATGGATCCAAGGTCCGTATTCTTCACCTTGATGTTTTAAGCCATCATCCTTTACAGCATCATTTTGTTTCAGAATTTCCACAGGTTCCTGAACAATTTTCTCCTTAACTTGAACAGAAATAATTTCTGGACATACTGCTTTATTTTGTCCAACTCTACCGCATTGATAACAGAGAGAATTCAGCTTTTCATATTCAACTTGCTGAAAGGTTCTACCATGAATTCCTTCAATCCAAACCCCCTTTGGGAGTTTTCTTTCCAAATCAATTCGAACACAGCAACGAGCATATTCTCTTTTACCCCACTTAAAAGAATTCCCATCAAGCATCATTGGAATTCCGATCATAGAAGCGATCATGGGAATATTTTCATCATCCCAACAACTTAAAGGTAATCAAGGGAATCAAATCCAGACCGGAGAAGTAATACCCTTTGTGGGCTCCAAAAATTCGGCCCCGGCCTCCCCGCCGCGCGATTTCTTTTTTTATTTGAGCAAGGGAGTTATGTGTAAATGATAGAATAACGTGTATAATAGATTTACATTTTTTTTTTTTCTATTCAGCGGTGGGATACATGCAAGCCAACACATAGGTAGATGAATTTGGCCCCTTGCTGTAGCAGAAGACACATCAAAGGAATAATTTGCCAAAGCAAGTTAATAGCAAGGCACGTGGATTAAAATATGTAGAAACAAAACGTCAACTTGTAGGTTATATGAGTTGATTTATATTGATATATATACAGGATATATACAGATTATTTTAGATTATATATATATTTTTTTGACGGTTAGTAGCAATTGAATATAATAATTAATATTTACAAAATGTATTTAATATATGACTTTATACATATAATATCAACCTTTGCTAAATTTTTTTTTTGTTATTATGCATTTCATTTTACATGTTTTCGTCGTCTCGAAAGTCGTCTAATTTTATATTTTCAATTTATGTATTGTCGTCTCGCAACTCAAGCCAAATTTAAAATTTTCGCAAAAATAATAGATCATCGCCTTCATTACTTTCATTGACCGTGCTACATATGTAGAGGTCAACAAATGCCCCCCAACAAATGTGGTGCACGTCTAGAGTGGATCATGTTTGTTGCAAAATGGTTGGCCCTATGAATGTCCAGGTATATTCTATGAAGATTAGATTGAGGGCTCTTCTGAAAGATTTCCAAAGCATCTTGCACTTTGAGTGTGCTTCAGTTTGACTATATGGATATTATATTGAATGAAGCTCATTTCTTCAACTCCACCTTAATACATCAGTTAATTGAGAAAACTTTTCTGAATATGAATTGCTCCAACTTACCAAGTTAGATAGGCTTTGGATTTGATAGCTTTTGTCATCGAGCTAGCAAAATAGGGGCTTTCTTACTGCGGCCATATTTATGACTTATTGAGTAAGGAAAGCTGTCAGCGACTCGGCCATTTTAGGCTTGTTGAGTCCGGCCTTATACACCTATTTGAGCTCTAGACTTAAGTTATAGAAACTTGGGCTTCTCCAACATAACATATTGAAGTTATCAGACTTAAAAGTTTCTTCATTTAACATTTTAAATTTTGGTGAGTTTAGGAGAGATGAAATCTCCATTTTTTTTTATGCATCATCCATGATTCGTTGAAATCACCGATCTTTGTTACATATTTATATAATGGGCTTAAATTTTTTTATAAATTTTAAATATTTATTTGGGAATTTCGATGCAACGCACGATGTCGACCCAAATAAATATTTAAAAATGCCCCCTGTATCATGAGAGGATTTTTGGTGCAATTTCTTGAATAGATGTTTATGTGTAGTATTTCTTCAAGAATCTACGATTGATTGGAGGTATTGGTCGTTGACCATATAGATCAATTAGTTGATAGGCTCCTCATTGATATACCTTTTCAATAGCATACGGGCCTTCCCAATTAGGCTCAAATTTACCACCAATTTTATGATGCGGGATAATTGGTCTTCTCAGCACTAAGACTAATTCCCCTTCTTGGAACGCTCGATGACGTACTAATCGATCAAAAGATCTAGACATCCTTGCTCGATAAATTTCAAGATTTTGTTGGGCTTGGAGTCTAACCTCATCCAGTGCATCAAGCTCTTCCATCCGTAAGCGAGTGTTCTGATCTTGTGTGAGATCATATTGAATAGCAACTCGAAGTGATGGTAATTCAATTTCAAGTGGTAGCACTGCTTCAGCTCCAAAGACTAATGCATAAGGAGTGGATTTTATTGGAGTCTTATAAGTAGTACGATATGCCCATAAAGCTTCGGCCATTTTTGTGTGCCACTCTCTTTTGTTTTTAGTGAGTATCTTTTTTAGTAACTTCACCAATGTTTTATTGAAGGCTTCCGCCAATCCATTTTCCCTTGGGTTATATATAGATGAGTAGCGCCAATCAATCTTATGCCGCTTAATAAATCTATATATTTTAGTGCTTTTAAAAGCTGGACCGTTGTCTGAAATCATTTGACGTGGCACACCATATCGATAGACAATATTATGAGTAAAGAAATTAACCACATGTCCAGCAGTAACTTCTTTGAAAGGAGCTGCTTCCGCCCACTTCGAAAAATAATCAGTTGCAGCTAAGATAAAGCGATGTCCTGCTGATGATGGTGGATCAATTGGACCAATTATATCTGTACCCCAACATTCAAATGGCCAAGAGGCAATTGTAGGGTGCAACGGGTTTGGTGGTTGATGTATAATGTCACCATGAATTTGACATTCATGACACTTTTTAGCATATTCAATACAATCTCTCACCATCGAAGGCCAATAATAACCTATTCTTTTAATTTTTATAGCCATTTTAGGTCCTGATTGATGTGCTCCACAAAGTCCTTCATGAACTTCAGTTACTACCTTAATAGCTTCTTCAATTCCCAAGCATCGTAGCCACATTTGATCAAAGGATCTACGATAAAGAGTATCATTAACAAATGCATACCGCAAAGCTCTTTTTCTAATATGTGAAGCTATCGATTTCTCTATTGGAAGTGTGCATTCTTTGAAATAATCAATGAAAGGTTATCTCCAATCATCGTGCTCTTCAACCATGCATGCATCATTTTGAAAGTTTAATACCTCTTGAGAGTTGCATTCGTCTTGAGTAGTTAGTAATTTATTTGGTTGGTTTTCACTGATGATTTGTTGTGGAGTGTGAGGAACAATCGAAGTTGTATCCTGCTGACATGAATTTGATGACCCCTCTACAAGAGGGGAGTGCAAAATTGCTGGCTGTAGCACTCGACGAGTATGAACTCCAATTTACACAGGCTCATCAATCATATTTGCCATTTCTTTTTCCAACTTATCGAGAGAATCTGCCTTGCTATTTTGTGCTCGGGAGACTCGAGTAAATGTGATATATGGAATTTGCTTCATGAGTTCAATAACTCGTTTGTGATAATAGGCTAACTCAAGCCTATTAATTTTGTAAAGGCCTAATACTTGATTTATGATAAGCTGAGAATCACCAAATATATGAAGGTTTTGGATTCCTATTGAATTAGCAATCTCAAGACCCGCAACTAAGGCCTCATATTCAGCTTCATTATTTGTTCTAGGCTCAGTCAAACTAAATGAATATCTGAGTATCCCACCATTAGGTGTTATAAAGATGAGACCAACACCAGCACGAGCCTTTGGAATGTTTGGAGGTTGAGAAGGTTTAATTGATGAAGCTCCATCAAAATACATTTCCCAAACTTGTAGTTTTTCTTTATCTTGAATAGGTAGAATTTGTTCATCTGGTAGATCATCATTGAGCGGTGAATCTACAGGGATGGGATGTGTAGCAAGAAAATCTTCCAGAATTTGACCTTTTACTGCTTTTTGTGGGACATATGTGATATCAAACTGCAAATGTTTTACTGCCCATCTAGCTAAACGACCTGTCAACGCTGGTCTTGTCATCAAGAACTTCAGCGGATCGATCTTTGAAATTAAAGTGACTTTATGAGATAACTTGTAATGGCGAAGCTTTTGTACGACAAATATCAATGCTAAACAATGCTTCTCAATTAGAGAATAATGCATTTCTGCCCCAATTAGTCTACGACTGATATAATAAAGAGAATTCTCCTTACCTTCTTCATTGTGTTGAGCTAATAATGCTCCAAGGGACTTTTCTAGCGCCGCTGTATATAATATAAGAGGCTTCCCTGGAATTGGTGCTACAAGAATAGGTGGGCTTAATAGATATCTTTTAATATTGTCAAATGCATTCTGACATTCTGCATCCCATTTGAAACGGACATCTTTCTTCATTAACTTGGAAAATAGTTGACACCTACCAGACAAATTTGATATGAACCGTCGAATGAAAGCTAATTGCCCTTGTAGAGAGCGAAGCTGTCGAAGATTTCTAGGTGGTGGCATCTCCATGATTGCCTTGATTTTGTTGGGGTCAATTTCGATTCCTAGGTGTCGAACGACATACCCCAGGAATTTGCCGGAGGAGACC